AGAGTTTCTGATTATTTAAACCACATAAAATTGCTGTTGATTGACTAAAATGTTAGGTATTGGTAGTTTCCTGTGATTCTTACATTTTTGTGTGTTTGGTTCAATTGTAGGAAGTAACTTAACTTGGAATACTGAATAGAGTTTTCTCCCCAAGATTGATTTTCATTTCTCTCATACCCCAATGTCACTCATTCTCTTGTTTCCCATTAGCAAACAGGCAGCTAATGGGTGCAGTTGTGAGTGGCAGGTTTGGGGGAGGCCGTGCAAGTCTTAGTCCCTTCCCACGCATGTGCTTCTAACTAGATTTCAGTTCTGAGCATCACATTTTTAAAATAGGAAAGACTGTATATGAGTTGGACTGATGACACCTTATGGGAGAGGACACTGACTCTGCTGAAATTTAATAGAAGAAAAGTATAAACAGTTTGAGCTTAATAAATCCCATGTTACCAACACTGATACATTACAATAAACCTCAGGTTTTACTTGGAATTCATACTTTTTCCATTGACATCCTGACTGTCTTTTAAGATGTATCTTCAGGATAAGGTGGTACACTTAGAATCCTACGACCTAATATAATTTGACATACATTTTAAAAAGCAATAGTCTGACCAATACCAGGAGGCAAGGACTGAAAAAAGAAAAAAAAAAAAAGGAACCAATAAAAACATGAATATTGTAATTCATGCCAAACAAAAAAACAAAAACAAAACCTAGAATCCTACAGTGGCTAACATAAGAGAAATCCAAGCAAGACACAATCAGTGTACTAACAGAAAAGGCAATGGAGACTGGGAAATTCCAGACATGTTTCATAGACAGAGTGAAGACTATTTGGTGATGGACTTAGCAGAATATAAAAGAAAGGCAGGAGTCAGTGTTTCTCCGTGTATCAGTCCTGGCTGTGCTAGAACTCACTCTGTAGAACAAGCTGGCCTGGAACTCATAGAGATCCACCTGCCTCTGCCTCCCAAGTGCAGGGATTAAAGTTGTGCAGCCACGCAGCTCAATATCAAAGAGTTAACTTACAGAAACTGGCTGCATACTGTTGCCACTAACCAAGATGAAAATATATAGAATAGTTGTGGGAGGAAAAGTGCTCACATTGAGATTGTGGGGGCTTGAATAGGAATGGCCCCCATAGGCTCATAGATTTGAATGTTTCATCACCAGGAAGTGGTAACATTAAGAGGTGTGGCCTTGTTGGAGGAAGTATGTCACTGGGTTGGGTTTTGGGTTTCAATGCTCAAGCCAGGCCCAGTGTCTCTCTCTCTATTCCTGCTGCCTGCCAATCCAGATACAGAACTCTCCACTCCTCCAGCCATGCTTCCCGCCACAATGATAATGGACTAAACCTCTGAACCTTAAAGGTAGCCCCAGTTAAATGCTTTCCTTTATAAGAGCTACCATCATTATGGTATCTCTTCACAGCAATAGAAATACTAACTATAACAGGAAATGTTTGCACCATTCTTTAAAAATGCAAAAAGAGAGGCTTCAGAAAAGACTAGTGGTTGACAGCATGTACTATTGCAGGGGACCTTGGTTTGGCTGCCAGCACTCACATAAGGCAGTTCACAACTGCCTAACTCCAGATCCAAGGAAACTAACAACCTCTTCTGGCCTCCATGGAATCCTGCATATATATGATGCACATATAGAGGAGAAGTCATGTATACACACACAGAGTATTTTTAAATAATTTTTAAATTTACAAATGTCAACGTTCAGGTAGACAACTAGATGGATTAATAGCGTTAGAGAGAGAAGGGATAAGAAATATGAATATGTAAATCAATGATATATGAATAATTTAAAAGTCTTGATATCACCTAAAGGAGACAAAGAAAAGAAAGGAGCCCAAAATAATGAGCGGTAGAGCACTTCAACAACAAATGTTTGCAAAGAACAGAAGGATCCAGCAGAGCAAGCCTAAAAGGAAAAACCAAGAAGAAAAGCATGTGACTATGGCCACAGACCAAGTTAAAAACAAAAACCATCATGGGGAAGGAAGTGAACAATTGATAGGCCAAATATGACCATGACTGGAGACCATCAACATCTGGAGATCACTGGTGACATTAAGAAGAGTATCTTGGTGCAGTGTGGGAGCAGGAGTTGTTTTGAAAAAAACATATAAAACCATCAAACTGGGACAAAAGAGAACTACACAGAAATGTGTAGTTTCTGGGAAAAATAAACAAATGACGTTGAAATGTAAGAAGATTAATAGAATAATTTTTTCTTATTAATACAGTATTTATTTGTGTTCTATCAAACCCTGAGCTAAGCACATTGCCCAGACTTCCTGAGGAGGTATAGGAAAAGGAACATAGAGGGCAGCATGGCCATAAAAGAACTATGGGAGGTAGAAGTGGAGACAGCCACTTCAGAAAGAGGAAGAGGACGAGAAAGGCCACCATTAGGCAAAAGAGCTCCATGGCCTCTGAGGGGGCAAAACCCAGAATCGCACTGAAGATCTGTTGCTTCAGAGAAGGGTTCCTGTCATAACCAGTGATGAGGCTTCCAAAGACAGTCCCAATCCCAGCCCCATAGCCGGCCACCCCAACTGTAGCAGCCCCAGCCCCAATGAACTTGGCGGCTGTGTCAACATTCCATGAAATGATGCTAGTTTGGAAACTGCAACAAGGGATGAGTGGGGTCAGGGGATGTGGGACTGTCAAGCCGCTGAGAACCCCATTTGTCAATGTCTGTGGTCAGTTCAATTCTACTGCAGACAGCAGACTAGTCAGCAGCTGAGAGGTGCTCCCGGGAGCAGGTAGAGAACTTGAAGCAGGCATACATTTTCAGGGGTGAGGGGCTATCACAGGAAAGCTGCTCACATGGTACAGAAGACAATTAGAATCATTTCTTAAGATGAGAGAAATACCAAGTCATTAAAACAAAACTTGCTATAATCTAGGAGTCATGGGGGAAAGAGAATGAAACACATAGAGACCAGGAAGGCAGCAATCAAAGCCAAACAAATTTAGCTTCAGTTTATGTATTTGAGAATCAGAGAAAGCACAAAAATAAATAAATAAATAACAGATAGATAGATGACAGATGGATAAATAAAAATAAAACCCAGTAATATATATGAGTAGTAATAAATAAGTAACTAAAGTAAAAAGAAACCACAAACACTATCAATATCAGAAATCAAGAAAAAAGAGAAAATGTAGAGAAAGGGTCTGGCAGTATAAGAAACCAAATTAATTTTTAAACATAATATATGAAAACGAACCATTTTTCCATCATTAACCCTCCACCGAAGAAGGAGAATGCAGGGTACACCATAGCACTTACTGTGTACCAAACACTCAGGTAAGTTACTTACTTGTATTTACTCATTTAATCCTCACAACAGTGAGGAAAGCTAAACGCACTCTTGCAGAAAACCATAGATATATCACTTTATATACAACTCTGTGGACATCATGACATGAAAACTGAAAATACTCTTCCAGACGCAGAGAAGGCAATAATGTCTGTAAATGGAATGACACAGTCAGGTTTTGCTGGTAGGAGGAAAATGACCCAAGAAGACTCTAAATGAGAAATTTACAGCAGAGCTACCAGAAGGAAGAGAGAAAAAAGAGGGAAGGGGAGGGGAGGGGAGGGGAGAGGAGGGGAGAGGAGGGGAAGGGAAGGAAATAAAGGAAAAAGGAAAAAGGAAAGCAAAGGAAAAGAGCAAGAAATCCATCACTGGCAATCAAAATCAAGATCAGGGTCTCTGTGTGCCTAGCCACCTTGCAGCTTCCCCACAGATCTTAGTATGTTAGGTTAATTTTGCTATTTTACATGAAAACAATAAACACCACACACATGTATTCAGCTTTATCTCCCCACAGTATGTACTTCTACGGATAACTTAATAGTTGACAAACTGCATTTGCTACTACTCTCAAGTTAAGATATGTAAGAAACTATGGCCTAAATTGTCCATAAATACAACGAACAAATTACTATCTCTAACAACTTTAGCTTCCTGTGCTCTTTATCAGAGCCTGAAACATAGGCTCATACAGAAATATCAATCTGGAGTGCCAAAGGGTAGCACGTAGCAATCTTTACATGAATAAAGTCATCTATAACATCTCCCAACACTTTTCACTACTACAGAAGCTAAACTTATTGGGCTGCAGAACATACTTTCTACAACTACATTTGAAACGTTCCTGTTTATTCAACTTGAATAGTAAGGTATAACACAAGCAATTTTGAAATTATTAAATAACATGTGGAAGGTACTGTATCATTTCCTATTGCCCTCCTCCCTATCCCCCCCATTAAAATACTCAAAGAAACATCCCTTCCTCTGCTGCAGTCTCAATACCACTAATAATAAAGATCCTTAATTTGAGTATTTGACGAACTTTCAGCAACTGAGAATAGTTTATTTTAAAAATCTAGTTATAAGCCGGGCGGTGGTGGCGCACGCCTTTAATCCCAGCACTCGGGAGGCAGAGGCAGGAGGATCTCTGTGAGTTCGAGGCCAGCCTGGTCTACAAAGTGAGTTCCAGGAAAGGCGCAAAACTACAGAAAAACCCTGTCTCGAAAAACCAAAAAAAAAAAAAAAAAAAAAAAAAAATCTAGTTATAATTCCAAACAAAATCTCAGATACCATACAGTAACAAACAATCACATATAGCACTAAGTAAAAATAATGTGTTGTCCTAAGCATTGGATTCTCATGATTCAGCTGACTAGAGCTCATAAATCAATGTATCACGTCAGTTTCCTTCACTCGTGCTTTCTACACATCATCGAGGCCAATAAAGAACGAGTAACATTCTGAATAAAAATGAAAACGATACTGCATAAAGGAAAAAAGCCAGTATTTGGATACACAGGGTTTTCATAATTTTGATACACTTGAAAGAGTGAAAAAATGCCTGACTTCAAAATCATTCCAAGAACTATATATAATTGAACACACCTTCCCCACATCTACAAAACTCATATGGAAAACTAGAGGTAAAAGAGTGTCTTACCTAATGGTATTATACTAAGTCAATTACTCCCCTTGGCAAGGGGCCGGTACTTTCCAGTAGCTACCATAGAGTTCTTTCCCTCTCTCTTCAGGGCCTAGAAGGTCTAAGGCCCGGATGCAGACTATGCAAAAAGGAGGGGGCCTGGAAAGGCGAGTTATTGGGGGCGTGAGGGGGTGCTGGACACTGAACACTGCCTTCTGAATACAAGTGTCCACCACACAGTAATACAGCATATTTCCAACGAGCCTCTCACTCTTGAAAATGCAAATGACTACAAAAAGAGAAAATTAGGAGGGACCCCAACAGGTGCACACCCCAGGAAACCCTGACATCCCTTAGGGTCCACAAACGAAAGGCTCAGAGGTCACTGGCGGGACAGAAGCCGCGCACTCAGTAGCTTTGGGGGTAAATGGCAGGGAACCACAGGAGGCCGAAACGGGAAGAAATAAAAGGAAAGCGCAAGTAAAAAGCATTGCTTAGGGAAAAAGGCCACAGCCACTTCCGGACCCTACCTCTCAGTGACTCCACTTCCGTTTTCCTAAAAAAAAAACGTGGGCACCCAGCGAGAAACCTGCGCGGCCAATGAGAGAGTCCGCTAATTCCAAGGTTTGCGAGGCACCGCCCACGGCCCGCCTCTTCCGGTCGCGGGAGCCTATCACGGAGTCCGAATGGCACAGCCTGGGCGGAGGCGCCGCGATAGGCCCAACCGGGCGGCTGGAGAGAGCGGGAAGCGCAGCGGGCGTGCATCCTCTTCCGCCCCGGCCCGGAAGGGTGATGTGGCTGGACCAGCACCGGCCTCACTATGGTAAGAACCTAGGCTGCAGGGCCGCGGTGCAGCTTCGTGGAGGGGCTGCGGGCTCGCGCGCGCGGCGGCGGCGGGGATGGTGCGGGCGCTGTGGGGCGCGGGAGCCCGGGCGGGAGCCCGATCCTCCGGGACCCGAGGCTGCACGGGCCGAGGAGTCATGCGGCCCCCGATGCTCATCCTGGAGCATCAGGCCGAGAGCCCGGGTGCTGGGTTAGGCCTCTCGCGAAGAGGTCGCCTTGCTGCGTTGTTTAGTACAATGGCGATGGCATGTTCGACCAGTCGGTTACATATCTCTGTGGACATCTACTCTCAAACGCTGGAGTTTCAGTTTCCTTTCCCCCCTTCTTTTATGTGTTCCATGTTTCTCCCAACCCTCTTCTTTCAGTAGTAATTAATTGATTGCTGTCTTCCTTAACTCTAGGTCCTGCACCGTCCGTTTTACCTGTTGAATCCAAGGCGAGATAGGGCCCCCTCCCACACCATTCATTCAGTTCTAATGGTGCTCCTTTGCAAACGGATGTTTTTAATGATTTGAGTTCCCTGCAAAGGTGAATCTGTCTTGTAGGAGCTTAATGTGCTTCCTCATAGTATTGTCTGGCCAGGACCTTCCTCGCAGACCACCACCCTCACTGGGATTTCATGTTTGTGTTGTGGATTATTTAATAGTTTAGACCTCAGAAAAGTTTGCACTGCAAATCACAAAAGAGCAGCAACAAATTTCAAGGCAAGGAACGGGAAGCCCCATGTGGCCAGTGCATAGATAAAGTAGAAACTACTGATGGATACTGAACATTATGTATGAAGGCATATTACCAGTGTTAGGGTAAATGTCAAATTCCCCTGCACCACCACTTAGGTGAATTTAGAAGCCATTTATAAACATAGTACTAGTGTGTTACCATCTCAAAAGCAGCCATGACCTCCCTCGCCCCCTCACCCCCAACCCGGGTTTCTATGGTAAAGAGATACTGAATTTGAGTTCCTGGAAGTTGCTCCAGCATCATCTAAGGTATACAGCCTGTAGAACCATAGTCAGAAGAAGCTCAATTAGTCCTTCCTACTTTCTTGACAACTACTTACGTTTATGCATAAGTTGGAGTTCTTTCCTAAAGAAGATTAGCACCTGGTAAAGGAGATAGCATTTATTGGAACATTTTTGTTCTCTGGGTTAATATTTTGTTGGCCATTGCAGCCTCTTTTGCTACCTACCGCACAATAATATACACTTGGCCATAAAGATGTTGTTAATAAGCTGTTACTAAACTTAGAAGAATGCTTTCTTGCCTATTACCAAGAAACTGAAGTAGAATTACTTTGCTCACAGAACAAGTCAAAGGTGCGTTCCTCATCCTGTCCTTCATATTAGGTAAAATCAAGTTAGTTTAAGATTGATGGTATTTAACTTTTTCAAAAAAGGAGAATAATAACAAAACACAAGTTTCTATTTACTAGTACTTGATGTGTATCAGGTTCTATTTTAAAGAAGGAGTTCTTAAGCATTGTCTTCCTTTCAACTTCAGACTCACATACCTAGTAAGTAAAGCCAGGCCTCAAATTTTATCTTCATGTCTCCCTACAGAACAGTAACAGGAAAAATGTCAGGTGTGTTTTGTGCACATGTGCAACTTTCTTTTCCAGTTTTTTTTTTTTTTCAATCCATGACTTGTTGAATCGTGGATGTATAACCCACATTGGAGGGTGAACTGTATGTATTTGTACGTATATTGTACATGTAGAATGGCTGTGCAAGGATGTGGGATAGTATTATTGAACTGTAGGACTTTTTATTAATCTCTAAGTTTTACTTTTTTTTAAGTGTTGTAAGAAAATATAATTGTATACAATGTTTTATTAGAGATGTTACTGGCCATAAATATTTTAACACATAAAAAAACATTAAGGATATTGCCCAAGACCACATTGATTTTAAATGACATAGAAGGTAAGTCTTAAACTCATTAGCAGCTCCATTTGTCACTGTATATCCTCGTCCTTTCTACTGGTCAGAGGTGCCATTAATCACACAGGAAATCCAAGAGTAAAGACAGGTTTGTGGGAGAAAAGCTTAGGTGATAATTTTGGTTGTATTTGCAAGAAAAGGACAGTGGAAAAGCATGTGTCTTTAGAATTATAAAAATAAATTTAACCTTAGGAAAATGTTTGATGAGCTTCACTCTGAAAGCCATTGCACAAGGTTAATAGGAATGTGATGTAGATGCAGTGATTTCTCAGAGTGCTTAACCACCAATAAAATACTTCTGAGTTTCCTGAGATTGTAGTTTCTTTATAGTTTAAATCTAAATTTGGGGGGTTGTGTGTTAAAGCTTTGATTGATTCTAGTGAGCAGCCAGGGATACATGGCTGGTTCTCAGTATTCAGCTTTTCTGTTTTACCAGCCTCTATTTTGTCTTTTCTTGATTGCAAAATACATTTTTTTCATAGTAGGATTTGCTCTTTGCCCTTCAGAATATCTTTTCAGTCATTTTATCGAGGTATACTATGAAGAATTCATTTTTTAAAAAACAACTAATCAAGTGTTAGTTCCACCTTTGGACTAGATAGTGACTGACACGGCCAGAGATGAACTCTGAACTGTAGCTTGACTCACCACCAAAGTTCTGTAGTGGAAAGTGAGTCTTTATGCACTTCTGAAACAGAAATGTTGATTTACTCGATGATAAATGTATGTGTTAAGTAGTCCAGATGTGCAGTAGCCTCTGGATTCTGAAGGACAGGTTATGTTGTAGATAGGGTGTGTTTGTATTTGCAAGCTAATATTTATCTCCGTTTTTGCGGTTCCCATTTTTAAAAGACAACAGTACATATGAAGTTCTAAATAAATTCTAGTTGGAAAATGCTGACCTGACCTAGATTCGCAAATTATAAAATGCTGACCCATTTTTCCAGTGTGGTATAAATTTTATCATAATTAGGTTAGGGGTGTTGATTCTGTGTTCTTCTCTACCCTGAGAAAAGAATAAACTACTTTAGTTTTATGTAAAACAAGTCTAGCTAGTGTTTTGAATTTTGCCTTCGGTGTTTAACTCTTTTTTTGTTTGTTTGGTTTGGTTTTTGGTTTTTCAAGACAGGGTTTCTCTATGTAGCTTTGCGCCTTTCCTGGATCTCGCTCTGTAGACCAGGCTGGCCTCAAACTCATAGAGATCTGCCTGTCTCTGCCTCCCGAGTTCTGGGATTAAAGGCGTGCGCCACCACCACCCAGCGGTGTTTAACTCTTAAAAAAATTTTTAGTTTATTTATTTATTTTACATCCTGACCAAAGTTTCCCTTCCCTTCTCTCTTTCCAGTGCCCCCAACCTCTCCTCTGCCCATCTACTCTCCAACCCTCTCTTCCTCCATTTCTATTCAGAAAATGGCAGGCCTCCCATGGATATCAACAAAACATGCATATCAGGTTGCATGTCCCCTTGTATTAAGCCTGGGCAAGGCAACCCAGTATGAGGAATAGGGTCCCAAAAGCCAGCAAAAGATTCAGAGATTATGTGGAGTCCCTGGTAGTCAGTTCAGACTCTGTGAGCCCAGGTTAGTTGATTCTGTGGGTTTACTTGTGATGTCCTTGACCTGGCTCCGACAGTTCTTCCTCTCTTTTCAGCAGGATTCTCTGAGCTTGGACAAATCTGTGGCTGTGGCTCTCTGCATCTGTTTTCATCAGTTGATGGATGAAGGCTCTCTGATGACAGTTGGGCTAGGCATCAATCTCTTGAGTATAGCACAATATCATTAGGCATCATTACATTGATATTTTTTTCTCTCCAGTTGTGTTTAGTTCTATCGTAGTTCTCTGGGCCACCCAGCCTCTGGGTCCTGGTACTCCAGGCAGTGTCAGTGTGAGCTAACTCTTGTGGCATGTGTGTGAGGCTGGAACAGTCATTGATTGGCCACTCCCACAATCTCTGTGCCACTCAGCATATCCTATAGGCAGGACAGACTGCAGGTCAAAGGTTATGTGGCTAGGTTGGTGTCCCAGTCCCTCTACTGGAAGTCTTGCCTGTCACAGGAGATGGCCAGTTCAGACTACATACCTCTGTATGTAGTCTTAACTAGGATCATCCTTGTAGTTTAACTTTTAATTTTAAAGTGTACTTGAGTTAAGCTGGGGAAATTAATCAGTAAAAAATTATTTTAAACGTGAGCAATAAATATTTGAAGCTCTAAGGCTAATACACAAAAAAGCCTCTTACTTAGCAAATAAGGTGAACATTTTGTTTTGCTGATGATAAAAATAAATCTGCAAGGAGCCAAAGTGATCTAATACTTATGAAAATACTGTAAGTTAAAACAGCATCCTTTCTGTCAATTAAGTCTTGTCAACAACCAATAATTATAGGTAAAGAGTGCGTACCATATTAATGTATGTGTTTCCCTGTGTGGGTTTTTTTTTTTTTAAGATTTATTTTTATACTTATTTATTGTTTGGCCCTAAACCCCCTCCTCTATATTTCCAATGTTTAGAGATGGTTTCTTAAGATTTTTAATTTAAAAGTTCTATTAACAATGTCTAAGCTGTTATTTATAATTCTAGAGCAAGGTCCCATATCCAAACTTGGTGGCTATAGCGTTAGCATTCAGGAATGGCTCTAGAAATAAGAATGCCTGTGGACCCTTTTCTTATTTCACTATTTAAGAAATTGTGCTTTGTAGTCGGAAGGTCTCTCCGGTCCCACAGCTCAGACGAACAGAGGCTTAATATTATTTACAAACTGTATGGACTGTGGCCGGCTTCTTGCTAGCTAATTTTTATATATTAAATTAACCCATTTCTATTAATTTGTGTTTTGCCATGTGTTCTGTGGCTTTACCTATGTCCCATTACATGTTGCTCCTTCGGCAGCTGGCTTGCATCTCCCCAGACTCTGACTTTTTCTTCCTATTTCTCTCCTTTCCTGCCTGCCTGTAAGCTGCCTTGCCATAGGCCAAATTAGCGTATTTATTAACCAATGGGAACAACATATATTCACAGCATACAGAAAGACATCCCCTAG